ATGTCAGCACAATGTTATTGGGCATATACAACACAATCTTATGTTTCATAGAGATTTCAACACAGGAAATGGGTATATTAGGAATAGCCTAATTCATAGTTTTCCTGACTCAGGTATAGTGGTTTCTTTGAATGATTCTGAAGGAAAAGTTGTAAGTAGTGTTTTTATACCAGTTTCAATAATGCATATTTCAAAACCAAAATTAGTCAGGTATGTTACTGTTTACAATGTCAACATTCAGTGGGAAAATAAGTGTCAACAGGTCCCACCCAGAACAGCATGTGATCTTTCATTATAATCCTCATGAGTCTCTGATTAGGTCAGAAATGCTTTGTTTTTGTTCTTTCCATACAACAAATCAAAAATTCTTAGTTTACTGCCATCTGAAAAATAACATCCTTACCTCTCATTACTTAGACACTTTAGAGTCCTACTTAATAGCATTACATTAGAAACACTGTAGGAAGGGCCCATGTCTTATCTGTATTTATTCATGGCAACTATAAAAGTGGTTTGCACAGAGCAGAACATTAGTAAAATGACTGAAGTCTCCTACCACATGAATAAGCATTTCATAAAGCATTCTTAAAAAATATTCTTATTGTTTATGTAATTGCCTATTGATTTGTGCATAAGTTGTAAACTGAAAACATGAGCATCAGTTTTCCCCAACTTTTTGTGAGTATATCTCCAAAGTTTATTTATTTAGTGAAAGAAAAATGTTTACAGTCAGAGAGTACTCAAAACTTTCTGTGATTTGAGTTTATTTCTATTTTATTAAGTTAAACTTAAAATATTCCAAAATACTGATTTCCATGATATCTTGATAATAACTAACAATTTTATACCTCTAATAGAATCCATAAGCAACTGATTGTCTCAAAGAACCATTTCAACCATCATTTCTAAATAGAAATTCAAACCTGCGTAATGCTTCCTTGAAAACTCTCTGTAAAAGTACTGCATATTTTTTATATCTATTTTATTTACAATTTTATCTTTAACAGTTATAAAGCTACATTAGAAATCAGTTGCCTCACACGTGTGAGACACCAGGTTTGATCCTCAGCACCACATAAAAAAATAAATAAATACATAAAAAGATATTGTGTCCATTTACAACTACATAATTTTTTAAAAAGTTAAGAGGAGGGTACTCTTTGAGACCCCAGATTACAGAAGAAGTCATTGTGCCTTAGAAAACAGGACACAGATTTGTAAAATCATGCTAAGTGAATTAAGCCAATCCAATAAAACCAAAGGTCAAATGTTTTCTCAGATATGTGGAAGCTAACCCACAATAACTGGGAGATGGGCTAGAGGAGAAATAGAAGTTCAGTTGAGTAGACAACAGGGTAAAAGAAGGGAAGGGAGAGAGGATGAGAAATGGAAAGACAGCAGAATGAATCTGACATAACTTTCCTATGTACATATATGAATATACCACAGTGAGTCTCAACATCAGCACTACCACAAGAAATTCATTGAAAAAAAATAACTACAGGTAAATGACAGAAATATCAACAAGGAGAAGGGAGCCGGAGGTGGGGGAGAAAAGGGAAAGGAGAGGTACTAAGGACTGAATTAGAACAAGATATATTCTATGCTTTTATAATTATCTCAAAATGGATTCTACTGTTATGCAAAACTATAAAGAACCAATAAAAAACAAATTAGCAAGAAAAAAAAGATTTGTAGTACTGAGGAGCAGTGAATCTGAAATTTGAGTCTCTTGCTGTCTACTGACAACTTCTATGTTTTTTAACTGCTAAACTATACCAAATCCTCTAAAGTCAGTATCATGCTTCTCTTCCCATTATTAAAATTATCATTGGCTGCTCAGTCTCTATTGACTCCATCCCCCAAATAGAAACACACAATTTCACAATTCTTTCTATTTTCTGCATCAAAACAAAGCACTTGGGGATGGAAGTGTAACTACCCAATGGAAAAGCACATGTTCAACATGTGTGAGACCCTGGGTTCAGTCATTAGCACCAAAACAAACAAACAACAACAAAGAAGCACATGGTTTGCAGATTTTATTTCCTAATAACTACTCAAATCCATCTTTTTCTCATCATATTCTGTCATTTGTATATTCTCCTCCTTTCATTACCTATTGTCTGAACTGCTAACAACAACCTCTCAGTTGACTTCCCTGTCTCATCATATCTCTTTCTTCATCTCTAGAGATATTTCCAGAATACTCTTAAAAAGCATGTTCAATCACATCAACCATTTGTCTAAATTCTTTCAAGGATACCCATTGTCTTCATAACATTGTTCATACTATTGAGTACATCAACACACTCCTTAGATCTGAGTGTTGCTCATCCTTATGGCTTCCTCGACTCCACCCCCAATATTTATTTGAGAGATAGTTACAAAATAAAGCAAAATAGGCTTGGTTGCTAAGTGGATATGAGAACTGAAAAATGGAAGAAGGAAATTGATTGAGCTATCCATTAACCTTTAGTTTGTGATGTAATAACAAAGTGAGGATAAACCTTAGGATTCAGGGGATCTTTTAATTAGCTAACTACTTGACAATTCAGCATTTTATTTTTGATGAAGTAACTATTTCATTTTATTTTAATTGACTAAAAATAATTGCTTATTTCATGAGTACAATGTGTTATTTAAATACACGTATACATTGGAGAATGATCAAATCAGGCTAATTAGCATATCCATCATCTCGAATACTTAAACTTTCTGTTATCAAAGACAACTCAAACTCAAAAACTCCACAATCAATCACATTAGCTCCAATCACGTGTCCAATTCCCGATCCTTCAGTGCATCATATTTCAAAGAGAGACAGTGCCATCTATCCAGCAGTAAAGACCAGAGTTAGTCATGGCTACTAATAACTCTCAAATCAGCTCTCTTCTCTTTGTCTTCCATTTCACCTTCTTGATACCATCTACCATCTTATATATTATCTGATCTCACAATGCAACTGATGGCATCTGCTTTATCCTCTTTCATCTGTTCTCTATACTGAAGGCATACTTATATCTGACTATACCACCCCATAACCATTTATAATCAGAAACTGTTGGTTGCTTTCATAGCACCTTTACAATTGTAATTTTACTTTTATTTACATGTTTACTTGATTGTTCATTTTCTTCTCAAAGAACCTCTAGGCCCCATAGGCACTTGCCATCGATTGTATCCCCAGAAGTTAGTACAATGGCTAGTATAGAGTCAATTGTCACTATTTGATTAATGACTAATTAAATAAACTAATTTATTGACAGAAGAACAGCAAAATCTAGGCCTCTGTTTTGGTATCAAGAAGAATATTGTCAGTGATTTTATGAGTTGGATAATTCACTTTGGGAAAAATGGGTTGACTGGAAGAAACTCAGGTCAAGTAGGGGTATAAGATGTTTAGCACAAGAAAGACTGAGATCAAAAGTCAGAAGAGAGTAAGAAAGCTAGAAGATAATTTTGTTATGAACAGCAAAGTAAGAGAGAACACAAATTGGTCAACTATGCAAACATCTCAGATAAGTCTAGAAATGAAATTGAAATTATTATCTCAGAATAATTCATTTACATTTTTAATTTCTACCTCATGTTTTCTTTGTTCAAACATAACATCTGAACCTCTATCAAATGCTCTGAAGATATACATCTTCATTAAAGAATCTCCTGTAATTCTTTCATTTCTATTAAAACATTTCTGGAAGTTAAAAGAAATAAATCCCCTTTCTTCACTTCAATCTGTTACATTGATTGAAGTGAAGAAAGGGGATTTATTTCTTTTAACTTCCAATCTCTTACATTGATGCAGTGTGTTCTGATCTCTATGAATTATTATGTGCACCTGCATCACTGTCATCTACCTCACATAAGGTGAGTTCTTAGATAGCTAGATCCAGACCTATTTAACATGCTTCCCCAAGCATGAGCCACAGTATACACTTTGTAAAAACTGCCTCAATGTGATGAAAGAAGTTAAAAATTCAATAACATGGACCGTAAGAAAACTACACTTTCTCAGTAAACAATAAATATGCTTGTAAATCTCTCTCTCTCTCCTCTCTCTCTCTCCCTCCCTCCCTCCTTTCCCCCCTTTCTCTCTCTCTCTCTCTCTCTCTCTCTCTCCCTCTCCCTCTCCCTCTCCAGTACATTGAAGATTTTGTCTACATATGAAATTTTTAACAGACCTGATAGTGAGGTAAATCCCAATTTTTATTGAGAAAACATTGGAAAAATAGACTTCCTTGTACACATACTTTTCTGTGGCTGTAAATTTTTCATCATACTATTTCTGATTATGTTTCTGTAAGTCAGTCAGTTACTACTTCAACAGTATTTGTTGTCTCTTTTATTAAATTTTATTTCGAATATCTCAAGACTTGTGAAGATGATTATCACTGGTATTATTCCAAATACAGGAAATTTTAATATATTTAATCTAGTGCACATTTTAAAAAAGCAAAACCATGTTCTCTTTGAATGATTCAGAATTATGTCCTTCCATTATATGTTTTCTATCACATCTATCAAAGCAGTCCTATGAGGCAGCCAATACTACTATCTTCTAGAGGTCCCATAAAGTCAGGTACGCAGGAGGAGTTGAGTATAGATATGAATCAAGTCTACAAAAAATACACATATCTACACCAACACTGGAGGCTAGTGGGTAGTGTAAGTTGAAGGGTGTAGAAGGAGGCTGGGCTGAAAGAGACTGTTTCAAACCAAGGCTAACACAAAGTTGGAGATGACAACCAGTCTGCCAAGTATACACATTGTCTCTGCTACAGATATTTGGAATCCTATTATTTTTCACCATTTGGTTAGTAATACAGATGCAAATGGGAATAAAAAGAAAGACTACCTATGTTCCTATAGTATACAAATAATAGTCATGTGTTATCATTCATGAATGGCCTTTTAGGGAGGATGTTAAAGGTTATGTTGCTGATATTGACAATGCCTTCAGCATATACATTCTAAGCTCTGGGCTAAAATGTACTCACACTCACTTTCCCATTGCGATTGTCTTCTTCTCTCACTGCCAGGGCCTTCAAAAAATTATCTTTCAGGTCTTTTCCAGCACTTGTTAGTGCTCTGTAAAAAGAAGGTCTTCTGTTGTAACATGTTAGATTAAAAAATATGTTTAACACACTCTGGAGCCAATCATCATGCTTATTTTTTCCATGTAACAATTTTCTTATAACATATAAATCACACGCATACATTATTTATGGTCTACTAGATCCCTCTATTTAATTTCATATAGTTACATATACTTTATATGAAAATAAATAGAATCAAGTCTACAAAAAATACACATATCCATACCAATACTCATGCAAGATACATTATTTTCATTTGCATGCCCATGACCATGAAGCATCCGCATTTTAATACTCCTTACTTTCCACAAAAATTTTAAATTGTCTATAACTTAAGTACAGTTTATTTATTAATTTAAGGAAACTTGAATGGATGCAGCTAGTGGAATAGAGAATTAATTTTATCTCTAAGTAGAGACAAGCAATCAAGACAAGAAAGAAAACTAGATTGAGATATCTGTCAGATAAAAGGAATCATTAAGAATTCAAGAGAAATAAATTTTAAAGGAAATTTATCACAAAGATCTCAAGCAGCATTGAACCACATCATGAAGAGAAATCAGGAATGATTTGTGAAAGAAAAATCTTGTCTTCATATAGCAATTTTCTATATAGTTGATAAACTTCATTACATGCCTTTCATGTACCAGGGACTATACTTGGGCACAATGATGAAAAGGCGCAGTTCCTTCTCTCAAGTTTCCTGTGGTCTCATAGATGTAACCCAATGTGTAAACATGATAGCATATTATGTGATAACTTTATTAACAGAGATATGGACAGAGCATTTCTTAGAGGAGTTTGTACGAAAATACATTACCTACTCAAGGAAAAGTCACCTATTCTTAAATTTTTAAACAATTATCTTTAAATCAAATGTTAAAAGATGAGATAGTATTAGCCATTCTGGAAGCAGGAGAAAGATATCAGTAACTACAAAGGAATAATATGTACAAAAGAATACAGATGTAAAATTGGAAGGCAACCTTAGGTAATGGCAAAATAGAAAGTTAATGCAGGAAGTGAGGGAGAAACCACATATTATTAATGAGAGCTGACTTTTCTAGATATACTGTTATAGATGTTAATAAGGCTACACAGCTAGTAGGAGCATAATCTTAGTTCCAACCCAGGCAGTCTGGTCCTGGAACTCATTCCTATACCTTCTGGACTGTGATGTCTTTCAGGCCCTGCATGCTACTGACAGAGTTTGGAATTTTCTTCCAGAAGATGCTAAACCACAAAGGGTTTATGCAAGGAAAGAAGATAGTAAATTTTGTGCTATGGAAAAATATTCAGCAGCTATGAGAGATGGAGCTGCAGGAGAGCAACACTGGAGTGATTTATTAGGGAGTTCATTCAAAGTTTTAGACAGGAAGGAAAGGATAGATTGAGAAGTATTTAAGAGGTCGGCTGGACCTGGTGATTGCTTTTGGTGAAATGTTAAAGACCGATTGCTATCGGGTTTCATTAAATCAATATAAGCAGGTATAATATGGAAGCTACTGATGATCCAGAAATATAATCCTTTAAACTGATCCTAACTTGTCTGTGTTTGCTTCTCTATTTTTATGCTCCTTGGCTTGTAATAACAATACCAACCAACAATCCAAACACTTAAATAAACATGAAAAACAACTGCTAATTAGTACTAGTAAAAAGAAACAGATATTTTGAGAATCTTTTAAGCCATTGTTTTTTTCTAAAAGTGAGTCTTCCATTATATCATATCCTAAACAATGCTTTAACACTAAACGTCTAAAATATGAAATTCATTTTCTCAAGTACTTAGTCAGAAATATGTATTATTTCTCCATTGCTCATGGGATAAATTTCTAATCATTTGGTCAATTCCCACCTAATTTCCTGCCTAAGGTTTGTTTAAAACCACAGCATGTTGGAAATTCTCTATGAAGTTTCAACAGAGAATTACTAAAGGCCCAAAAATATCTCAGTGGTTTACAATTACAATGAGTTATTTCTTAAAAATACTATGGTCTATTCAACTTTGTCTTTGAGTCTATGATGATCAGTGCTCTTCCAATAAGTTCCCTTGTTTATTTAGTTGATTAGAATTTGTTTCTCTTGCTCATAACCAAAACCCACAATTTGATAATGGCTAGCCAGTTAAGCAAGTCCAGAGTTCCTGAGTTTCCAAGTGATAAGCCTACTACTCCCTATTTCTATCACCTCCCCAACATACCCTGTTTTATTGGAAATTTTTAACCTTCACAGATAAAGTCCAGTTTGATCACCAACCTCAGTTTCGTGACATAAAAAGTAACAGTCATTACTAGTTTTGCATACATTCCTCAAGGTTATTTCTACAGGTTTCGCATATATATTTGTATACTCATAAGATGACATATAATATTATATAGAGAGCTGTTCACTTTACTACATATTTTACAAGTTTTCTGCAATTGTTGCTCTCTTTCCTATTTATATTTATAAATATTTATAAGAGTATAAACAAAGATCAAAATTATCTCCATGTATTCCAGGAATGAAATGCCAGAAGAACTGATACCTAGATATCATTTGCTAACAGGGAAGCAATGCCAATATTCTGCTAGGTCGAGCTTTGTTGCTAAAGGTGGAGGTTTTCAGCAGATACTTGGGCAAGACCAAAAAAAAAAAAAAAAAAAAAAAGAGTTATTAGGCAGCAGAACTGTTGCTACTCCTGGACACTTACTATGGCAGACACTGTTCTTCCTTCTTCCATTAAAATGTATGCCTCAGTATTTACCTGAGTGTGTGTGTGTGTGTGTGTGTGTGTGTGTGTATGTATATAGATAGATAGATAGATAGATAGATAGATAGATATAGATATAGATATAACTGTCTGGAATAAAGAACACATTTCATAGCCTTTCTGCAGCTAGCTGTCCATGTGACTAACTATTGCACAATGGAATCCAGTTGAAAATGATGTGCAACTTCTAGGAAGTGTACCTAAAAGGGAATAGGTACTAGTTTTTCCTGTGGCTAGATTACAACATGATCATAGTGCCAACTGTAATCTTGGACTTCAACTGGAGTCTATTTTTATGGAAAAACAAGAGAAAGAAGCAAGGTCCCTGATACCTTGGGACAACAACACAGCCTTGACTTGACTGACACTTTCTAGAATTCTTCAATATGAGATGGAAAAGAATTTATATTTCGTTTGAGTCACTGTCATTTCTTACTGTTTTTAGCCAAACCAAATTGAAACAGATAATTCACCATATGAAATTCACTCACCCTTCTGAAAAAGATACTATTGTGTGATTGGTCTGGTGATCAAGTTGGCCTTTTTCCTTATTTGTTATATTCTCAAGTTTCTTAGAATATTACTACTTTCAAAATTAATACATTACTTTTTAAACAGAGGTTAAACTTTTTACATGGAAGGAAGAAATAATCAAAATTAAACTGAACTATAATAAGGGACATTTGTCTGTAGTTCCTACCCATCTTTCATTGGTTTGAGATACTACAGTTTTCTGAACCTGGGTGTCATGGCGGGTTAAATCATCTTTTAAGTCTCCTGCTAGAAAACCTGGGATTTAAAGTGATCGTACAGTATTAGCAACTACCTAACACTATTAATGTGTAACAAGTCTAAGAAATGTGAATATCATACTGGTAATACATAAGATCATACTGTTCCTTTCTATTATGTCTTATGTGCACACACATACGTTGTTTCCTATAAACTCTATAAAGACGACAGAAGTTATTTTTATCAAATAAATTGAGAACAGGCAGGGTAAGGGTCTGGCTCCAAAGCTATTTGCAGCAGAGAAAAAAAGTTACATAAATAATCATTCTTACACCACGCTATATCTGAGACCCTGAAACGTCTCAGCAGGAAAGAAGGAAAGTTAAGGTAGTGTGTGGTAAGGGATTTTTAAATCTTCAACACGCATTACTCTTATTTAACTAGGTTTATTTAACAGCCAGTGACCTGAGAAACCTTGCTTAAGTAAATATTACAAAAGGAGTTACTTCCTCAAGAAGTGAAGTAGGACTCTTACAAAATCTTAGCCTCCTTATGCTTAAAAGTTTTATAAAGGCAAATACCCCATCTTTAATTGTTTATACTCCACTATGCTTTCAAAGTGGGATAAAAGTTACATGAATGAGTTAATTTTTGTCCACTGTGTTTAATCACTAACTACAGGTATTTATATAATCCTACATGAATGACTAATATAGTCTTAATCCTGATTGGGCTACTGATTTTATGATTTAAGTGTTTTGTTTCTGGATTCTATCACACCTATTCACATTATTAGATTAACACTTGAAAATAGAAAATAAAAGAGAAAAGTTCTGGAAAGCTGTTAAAGTAGAAACTTATTTTCAAGAGTTATTTAAGAGTTTACTTAAAGATAAGTTGTTTCAATAAATATTTGTGACTTATTAGTTGTCTTAAGATTTTAAATGAATAATTGGGAGTGTTCTAATAAATAAGGTTTGAAAAATCACTAGGCTCTGTTCTAATAAGCAGTTTCCAATAATCACTAACTTAAATCTGGGATTAATTTTAATAGGAATACTTTTTAGCTATTGGACACTATCTTTGTATTATTCTCCATGTTAGGTATTTGCAAACACTTTCATTTATCTCCAAATTGAGTCCTAAAGGGGAATGTATTCATTTTCACTTTAGAGATAGAGATTCAGTAAGGCAAAGTAATGTGACCATAATCAGCTGGTATTCAATATTTAACCTGGATCTTATTGATTCTAAGTAATCATTCTTTATTCTGAAGTCTCACAACATATTATTAAAATGCTGTATTTGTGTCATAATATTTTAAAATTATGAAAACAAAGAGAATTCACTGGGGTAAAGAAACTTGACTTAGCAGGGATATGGGGGGAGCGGGGTGGGGCAGGGGGGAGTGAGGCATGCAGCCTTCACCTTGAGCCATCTGAGGAAAGGTAATCAGCCACAACCATCATTCTAGTTGAAACTGGAATTCTGGTCAACAACTCTGT